ATATTACGATCTGTCTGTCACTTCCCCCCCCCCCCCTCTTTTTTTTTTTTTTTGCACGCTCTCTCGTTTTCCTGGCGCTGTGGGATCCCATCTCGCCAACGCATTAGTTACGCTCCTGGGAATTTCGATTCCGGCGCATAGCTTCTCAGTCTGCCGATGCATCGCGATGCCCGATGAAACCATGTGGTGACGGCCCTACTTGCGTGTGGTTTATGGTTCCGTCCAGCCTACTTATAAGTGATTTATTGCTTCCCTAAAGTGAGTCATGATCGGACGTTGCAGCTGCGGAGGAAAACGAAAAAAAAAACGCTCATCAAATAGACCGTCCGGTTGGATGCCCCACGCATTTTTCAGCTGTTGGAAGAGGTTTTAAAAATATTTTTCATTCCGTCGGATCCGAAACCTCTACGTTCTTGTGCGTGTGCGTTGGGGGGGGTTATGAAAATCGTCCGATGGCGATGACATCAATTCATTCGAGCGATTGCTGATGGATCGGTACGGCCCTAGACAATTCACGTTGTCATTGCAAGTAAATTCTCGGCGAAAGGGAGCCATTGAGCATTGGATTGTCAGCTCAACTCTCTTTTTAAGCATATTGGCTTATTCCGTTTACGATGACATTCAGTGTGTCAGCCTTATTTCTTAAAAAACGAGAGCGTGCCAACTTTTTTTTTTTATACCGGGAAAAATTTCCTTGAGGTATACCTTCTCAAATTATCATTCATCGCATGGCGTCCCCTCAGCAACCTTAGCCTTATAACGTTTATTCTATTAAATCTAAATATTTATTTGCTTATTTTTTTAATCCTCTTCAAGGTCTTTGTTTTAATACATAGAGATCATGGGCATTAAGTGAGATAGAAAATTTATATAGTTGAAAAAGTTGAAAGGTTTGATGACCTTTGGCCTCCTAATGCGACCAATGTGCCATAATTTTTTTTTCTCCAAACTTGGTGTGCTTCTTCCTTTGACTATATCACATACACTGTCGAATTTCCAAGATTTTGTTTTTAGTCATAATTAACCCTGTCTCAGTTAAGAAAAACTTTTTTTTTGGCTTTTTTCTTTACCATAATTTTTGTAAAAAAAAAAAAGCATAATAATTGTACCTCAAGAAGTGCTTTTTTTTCTCTCTTTCTTCTGACTACCTTCTCAATAAAATTGGTCGTCAGCCAGAGCAGCATCCTTGGAAGCGCCAACGGCTGCACATTCTCACCAACATCAATGTGCACTGCATCAACACCCTCCGAGAATTTTTCAAGGAAGAGGAGAAAAGCATTAAGGATGGCTTGGATGGCTGGCTTTCCAAAAGTTGGTTGTGCAGCCAAGTCAAAGTCAGTATCTGCCTGTTGGCATAGGCAACTCTGATGAATTGGCGAATCTGCATGCGGCAGTCTTCTGGGACTTTGGACTTTCTTGCTCTTGTTCTTGTTTCTGGTTCATCAGCAGGCAGAACTTGAATTTCTGGATTTTCAGCCACTCTCTTTGCTGCTCTCTAAGCAGTCAACACCGAGATCTTCAATGTCCTTGTCAGCCTCTTGATGTTGGAGAGGATGATAGGCCACTTTTCTCCTTTTCCTTGAAAAATTCTCAGAGGGTGTTGATGCAGTCCACATCATTGTTGGTGAGAATGTGCAGCCATTGGTGCTTCCAAGGATGCTGCTCCAGCCTGACGACCAATTTTATTGAGAAGGTAGTTCAAAAGAAAGAGGAAAAAAAGTGCTTCTTGAGGTACTGTTATGCTTGTTTTTTTTTTTCTTAACTGAGACAGGGTTAAGATATTGAATAATGAAGACCACTCCTCCATTTAAACAGCTTAATGTATGACTTCATAACAGCTGTCCAATACAGCCACAGAATAGCAAATCTGAAATCTACAAATAAAGTAATATTTTTTGAGTTTATGAGGCTCTGCAAATGAGAGAGTTATTCCCCAACATAGATCCAAGCCATATGGAAGGATTCAGGTCCATCACTGTCCAGCAGATGAGTCAGGTTTCAATGAGAAATCCTCATGAAAAAATGAGAAAAATTGCCTGGACTTATGGCTTGTAAAGTACATAGAAATATGATGAGGCCTTTTCAAGAATACACTTTACACAGTTTTCTAAGATTTATATTTTACATCTTTCATGTGGATTGCATTCAGCAAACATATAAGTTTCATTTTTATTTGTTCTAGAATGCTGAAACACATTAACCCTAGTGAAGTGGATTAAAACTGCAATAGGGACAGCCAATTGAGAATCAATGGCAACCAGACGCAAAGTTCATTGCATGAAGGAGTGACTGCTACGAGATATAAATCCCATCAGGGATTTGTTCAAGGAATTGAAGATAACTGAGACATTTATGCCTGATGTTGGAAATCCATCCACCCTTTGCACATAACATGCAGTTACTGTTGGTGACTCCCATTTGGACATTGATATGGTTCTATCTGTTCTTGGGTCAACATGGCTCAGCAATTACATGCAACAAATATAAACTAAATTTGCATCTATCTGAATGTTACTCACAACATGGCTTGAAAATATATTCATTGCAGCTGAAGATGTGGCCTGTTGAATCAAATGAATTTGTGGACATTCTGTATATCCACAAGTTATTTAGTCCTCAGTCCATACAGACTAGCATTCTTATTTTTAATTTTGACAGAGCCTGCTAAAATCGTGTGGTGTTGTGAAGAAACAAGGCGAGTCCCTGATCCAACTTGGGTCCCCGCATGTCCTATGTCGTGACCTGGAAACGGAACTGGAGAAGCTGGAGACCCTAACAAGCAAGCTCCTCCTTCAGAGTGAGAGGCGTGGGATGGCTCTTGAGGAAAGTTTGGAATTACACTCACATCTGGACAAGGTGAGCAGGCTCTCCTGGGTGTACCTTGTCCTTTTCCAATTCATGTTGGCAGATCAGATTGAATAATTTTCAATCATTTGCCTTGCATCCAGCATGTGCAGAGGCCATTGCTCTGTTTTAGATTCTTCTACCTCCTCTTCATTTCTTGATCACCATTCCCATGAAAAAAGAGCAGTTGATATGTCCTTGTTCCCCTCTGTCCCCTTTCCCTGCTTTCTTTCATCTTGAAAGACATTTTAGTGTCACAGTCATTAGATGGATGGAAAAGATTTGGAACCTGTTTCAGGCCAATGCATGGTGTGCAGAAGGGGTTTCATTGCTTGGGAGCTTGAAGCCAGAGCGCCTGTGGACACCGGAATATGCAGAGAATCTTTTGGCTTCCATTACACAGTTTCTGCAATCCAGGGAATCCACCTTCCCAGACGCCCAGCACATTCCCCTCTCTTCCCTGGCTCTTGTCTCTCAGGTGACCATGCTCTGTCATTCTTCAGATTATACATTTTAAAGTTATCTGAAATACATGTACTATTTCTGTCCCTGAGAAAGAAAGTATAGTCCACATACACTTTACTTTTTCATCTTGAAGTAAAAGAAATAGGGTTCCATCAGCAACAAAGGAAAAGGTTATGTTTTTAAATTGTGTTAGGCTTGTGTTAGGCCCTGCATATATCTTTTCCTGCTTAGGAAGGGACTCAGTTATGATCACCAGTAATGAAACAATGCATATATTAAAATTTTCACCAATCTGACAATGTCATGTATTCATGACTCCATGTTTCAACACACACGTATCCTATGGTCACAAAAGTGCTTCATTGCACAGTCCACAGGGTTCTGACACTTTTCCAAATTTAGTGATTTTAAATTCAAAAGTTTTTGAGATGTGAGTGCCCCAACGAACCAAGGCACCATTAATTTTGAAACCCTAGAGCCTTAAACCCTTAGCCTTTACTTTATAACCTGAATTACACTGTAAGAAGAAGATTCCTACAATGTTTATTAGGGGGTATCCTCTGCATGCACCAGAATTCCATTAATGAGGTTCCTATTAGTGAAGATGCTTATCACTGTTTTGTCTCAAAGTGCAGCTTCATTGGCATAGCTGGAAATGAATTCTTGCTGGAATCTATTATTATTTATTATTTGAAAGATTATTTGAGGGACTTCTTTTCATAATGCAAAAAAACAAGAGTGACTATCAAAATAAAATTTCACTGGGAAGTGTTTCTGATTTTAAATATCACATGCGAGTCACTAAACTTTCTAAAAACTTCCAGTGCTTATTGTTCCTCCTGCATTATCATGAAGAGTTGCATAGATGTGAAATGATTCTAGCACTCATGGTTACTATTTTCTTTCCCTTTGTCCCTTTGAAGTGGTGTATGTCTGATGTCAACCATCATGTGTTGATTTTCCTTTTTGGGCAATATTTGATATAGGTCCCAAAATTTGCTTGAACAAAAAGTGCATGTAGATTCATAATTTTATTTTAATCTGCTTTTATGCTTTTGATTAATTTGATTTTCAGTTAATATTCATTCCATTATTTCTTTATTTTTCTTTTTTCATTTGTTCTTCATTCCATTCTATCTTCCTGTCATTTGGAAACATTTCCCACCAGGTGGAGAGTCGGATGGAGGACATAATGCGGATGTGTGAGAAACGTGCAGAGGCATTGGAAAGAGCCAAGTTGGTTCATGCATCACGGCCTGTCCAGGCTGTCTCCCCCGTCCCCCTCTCCCTTCTTCGATCAATTTCAGCCCCGTCTCAACCATTGTCTTCCTCCCCTCTTCCTAGCAATGATGTGGTTGGTGTTCAGTTATTGGGAGGGGTGGTGAAGTGTCTGTGTGCAAACTGTCAGTTTTTGCCTGAATGGGAAGAGATTTCTGACTGTTGCCACTCCTGGTATAAACAAATTTGATGAAGTAGAAAAACTAGTGTTCCCAATGAAAAATTTCCATCCTCTCAAGTTGTTACCAAGACAAAAAAAAAAGTAGTATGCAGTGTCTATTGTGATCTGGGAACAGTTGGTTCACTTGTTGATGGAAATTAAGCTCTGTGATGATGAGATATATTATTATTTTGAATAAGTGTAACTCTGGTGTTTGTTTCCTTCAGGGTTTGGGCCTGCATCGACGCTCTGCCCAGTCTTCCAGCACTAAGAGGCGCCATGCTTTTCGGGAACTCATGGACTCAGAACGTGTCTATGTGGCTGAACTACAGAGTGTCATCTTGGTAAGTCCTCCTAAGTCCACACATTCAAAAGGAATTTATGAAACAGCTGCAATGTAACAGGGAAAGACACAAAATAGTTCCAGTATCAGGTAAAACTCAAAGAATGAATTTGTAAGTGATTCTGTACCTGAAAGTTTTGTGCATGAAAGTTCTAGTATCCATACAAGGAGGTAAATATATAATCTAGAATCTTGTGTCAAAAAGTAGCTCTTTTGCTTTTGCATAAAAAAATGCATTTTGCCCTAGCAGAAGGTGCATGCATTCATATTGAGGTTCTTAAGTCCACAAGCATGCAAAACCTCAGGATGTCAGAAAAAGGGTAATTTAGAGAAAGTAAAAGCAGATAAAAATTCAATAAGAACACTTCAGGTTTCCTGCATGTCAGGGAAACAAGCAATATTGCATGTTTCGGTTCATGTGCCAAAGCCAAAACTGTTGATTTAGTAGACAATGAGATCATTTGGTTGTGCCTTCTGAATCTAAGCTGGTGCTGATGAAAGAGAGATTCGGTTTGATATGGCAAGGAGTGCTGCTTGCACATGGAAAATGCCTTGACTTCATGCCCTATAATGCCCTGGAGACACAAATGTGACACAGGGTTCATACTGTCCTCTGTATTGGCAGATGGAGCAGAAATCTTGTGCCTCCCAGATTTCTGGCTCAATTCAGTGCTGAAGCACCCTAGGTAGGTTGCAATTTTCATTTCACAGATGCCATGGAGGCTGAAGTTACCCACTGGTTTTTTCCATGACCTTGCAAACATGCCTTTTCTGAATTCAAATTGGGTTCACATATGGGGGAAATGCTGTGCAGCTAAATTAAACTATGAACTGTGTAGAAAAGGAACATGTGGATGAGGTTGCGATATGGTATGGCTTGAAATTTTCTCTTTTCTATTAGAAATTCCCAGAACTTTTATAGTACTTTTAAAGAACTTTTATATTTTTTATATAGAGCTTTTTATACCCTTGAATATCTTGTATAGAGATCACATGATATAGGGGTACCATGATATATGATAGGGCTATCGAGATGAGATGGAGAACCCAGAGCTGAGCCATCTCTTGTCCCCAGAGATCAAGCACAAGTCCAGCATCCTCTTTGGAAATTTGGACCACATCCACCGCTTCCACCAGGATGTTTTTTTGCCCTGCCTGGAGGAAGCTGGAGGAAGCCTCCATGATGTTGGATGCTGCTTCTTTGACAAGGTCTCTCACTCTACTTTTCTAAGTTTTGTACTCTTGTTCCCTTCCAACAGTAAAAGGACAGACATTTTGATTAAATAAATTATTTGATGAACTTCATAAATTACCTCAATATAAAGAGAATCATTGTAAGAATTCTGTAAATTGGTTCCTGAGTTTCCTTTGTAATAGATCTTGTCCATGGATGCAAATCCAATAAGTTGTTGATATCATTCTGTTGATTTTTTTGTTACAGTAGCCAAATTTCAAAGGATTTATGGCATGAATAAGCCTTGATTATGCAATTGCATATTTTATTAATCTTGTAAATAGCCCAAAGTTAAGATGATCATACAATTTTATGGATTAGCACCCCCATTAAATAGTGATGAAACCAATGCACAATTTCAACTTCACATTGATGTTGCTGATTCCATAATGCAGAAGGAGACATTCCTCACCTTGTATGTGCGCTACTGTCAAAACAAGCCCCTATCAGAGGAGCTTTGGGGGAAAGTGGGTGGAGTTGGAGCGGGTGCAAACCCGTTCTTCTCTCATTGCCAGAAGCAGCTGGGGCACAAGCTCCCTTTGGGAGCATACCTCCTCAAGCCGGTCCAGCGCATCACAAAATACCAGTTGCTTCTCAAGGACCTCATACAATACTCAGATGAGGGGGATGATGGTGTTGCCTCCCTCCAAGATGCCCTGGAAACCATGTTGACCATCCTTAAGAGTGTGAATGATGCCATGCATCAGGTTGCCATCTCTGGGTTCCCGGTCAGCATCACATCATGTTCTTTGCTCCTTGAAGCAACATCAAATTTCATGTTGGAGATTAATAGTACCATAAACATGTTTATGTCTTGTTTCTGGAAACCAAGGGTTTTTTTAAATGCTAAACATTCAAAATCTATATCAAAATGGTGGAAAATCTTCATTGCCTAATTGAGATCCCATAAAGAAGTATGATAATACAAGTTTGCAAAGCAGGATGTTTTGATAGATGGATGTATTTTCCAAAAAATGTTGGGATTTTATGAGTGTGAAATTGTGAAATGTGGGACAGTATTAAGTCTCATATTGTGATTGGGCAAAGAAGAGTTTCAGTTGAAAGTGTTGCTTGATTATTTTAAAGTCATTGATCAAGTCAGTTTAATAAAAGAAAATAGAATTTGCTAGCCTAAAAATTTTCAGGGGCAGGTACATGGTAAAGTTTGGTGTATACATATATTTGGGATCAGTTGTGGGCAATAAAGAATTTTGTTTGATTTCGTTGAATTTGTTCAAGGGTAACATCACCATTAATGTTTAGAATGAATAACTGCATTTGCAGAGGTGACTAAAATGACACAAGTGGTTGACTTGGTGATGCTTTTCAAGTGCCTCCCCATTTCTTGACCTGACTGATGTGATACAATCCCCTTTTCCCTGCAGGTTGAGAATGAAGACCCTTTTCACTCAGTAAACCAATTTTATGTGGTCTTTTAACCTAGGGTTCATTGGCGGACCAGGGACGTCTGCTGATGCAAGGTCCATTCCTGGTGTGGCTGGAGACAGAGGGTAAGAGCTATAAGAGGAAGGAGCGATTAAAGGAACTCCAGCGACTCCAGAAACCCAAACCTCGTCATGTCTTCCTCTTCAAACGTGCTGTTGTCCTCTGCAAGTCTTCCATTTCCAAGGACTCAGATCATTCTGCTCTCCCAGCATATGACTTCAAGACCTACCTCAATGTGAGTCCCAGTCTGTGGGCATGTATTGAGAGGCATTGAGCAGGTATGGGATCATTCCTAGGTAAAGTTCAATGATAGTTAAGATGAATCATTCATTGATTAAAGTGCTATTCTTCGGGTGGCTGACACGAAACCTTAAATTTAAAAAATACAGGGTGGTCGAAAAAAGTTGACCCACAAAAAGTGTTGTTAAAACTTCAACTCTATTAAAAAATTGATGATACTACAGAATTACATGAATCGATACATGTCAAAACTATGAGTGCAATTTAATAAATGTAATGTAAAACATTGCACAGTTATGCATGATCCCAAGATATGCTTTAAATGCTCAGTGCTGGATGCATCTCACAAAGTTATTGATGACTCGCTCACATTTGGTCACAGGGATTGATCAGGTTTTGACTGTGATGGCTTCCTTCAGCTCATGGATGGTGCTTGGCCTCCCCTGATAGATGCTGTCTTTGAGATATCCCCAAATATAAAAATCTGGTGGATTGAGATTAGGGGAATGAGGGGACCATTCGATGTCAAAACAGTGACTGATGATTTTCTCACCAAAGTGCTCTGTCAACCACTCTCAACTCGCATTAACAGGGTGAGGTGTTGTTCTGTCTTGCTGGAACCACTGTACCTTTCTGGACTAGTCTTGGTCTCAAGAGAGGAGTTGTTAGACATCTACAGTGGTTCCAGCAAGATGGAACAACTCACCTGGCTAATGCAAGTTGAGAGTGGTTGACAGAGCACTTTGGTGAGAAAATCATCAGTCACTGTTTTGACATCGAATGGTCCCCTCATTCCCCTAATCTCAATCCACCAGATTTTCATATTTGGGGATATCTCAAAGACAGCATCTATCAGGGGAGGCCAAGCATCATCCATGAGCTGAAGGAAGCCATCACAGTCAAAACCTGATCAATCCCTGTGACCAAATGTGAGCGAGTCATCAATAACTTTGTGAGATGCATCCAGCGCTGAGCATTTAAAGCATATCTTGGGATCATGCATAACTGTGCAATGTTTTACATTACATTTATTAAATTGCACTCATAGTTTTGACATGTATTGATTCATGTAATTCTGTAGTATCATCAATTTTTTAATAGAGTTGAAGTTTTAACAACATTTTTTATGGGTCAACTTTTTTTTTGACCACCCTGTACTTCCATATGCTTAGCTTAGAATTTAATTATGCACCAAGTGCTGGTACCATCTCTTGAAGAATCCTTTGCTGATTTTTCCAATTTTTGCAGAATATGGTCTCCTGCAGCAAATTATCCATGTACTTCCATTCTTTAGCAGTCAGTTACATAATATCTTGAAGTTATGGTCCTATTTTTGTTGAGTTACAGAATGCTATGCAGGCTACTGCATGTTGAGAAGATGAAATTAATTATTTTCTTTATTGCCAGATGTCAGAAGTGGGATTGACAGAAACTGTGAAGGGGAAAGGTGAGGGGGAGAGCAGGAAGTTTGAGCTGTGGCTCTCAGGGCGGCAGGAAGTTTACGTCCTCCAAGCATCCTCAACCGAGGCCAAGCAGGAGTGGATTGGAGCAATTAAGTCTGTTCTTATGTCCCAGCTGGAGTCCCTTCGGGAGCAAAAGCTTCGTAAAGGACACTCTATCACCGTCCCACTCCCCATTCACAATCATGCTCCATTTCTCAACCACTTTGTTGTCCACAAGTATGGTCACTTGTTGAACGTAATGATTGTATTCAAGTGAAGTTTATTTTTTTATTACACTGTGAGGTGCACATGAGGAGGTTCTACTTGTGCCTCTATAATGTTTAGAGCATGGTTAATTAATCATTTTTGAGAAAAAGTGATGAATGATGAAATTTTCTAATTCTTCAATGATTAACTGATTAAAAATGATTGAAAATTAGAAGTTTCTAGCAACTTTGACATCTCATGGAGCCAAGATTTCTTTCATAAAAATTTTTAAATTTTAAATTAAAATGAAAGTTGTGTTGCAAATGGTATTGCCTTGGGATATAGTGTGGATTTCATGACAACAGTTTTATTTAATATTGTTGAATATGAATTGCATGGGATGACCTTGCTCAGAATTAATACCTTGATTGAGTCATGTAGTCATAATCAATTTTGATAATGTTGATATGAGGGTTTTCACTTCAAAGCCATGCTAAAAAAACTATACACTCTGCTCCATTCAGTAAGTTGCAGAATTGTCAAACTGGCTCTGTTACTATTCTGAGTGTATCTAATGATTTTTGTTATAAATGCTTCAATACCTTCATTTCCTGAGACAGTACTCCTTCTTACAATACTGCTTTAAAGAGATATTTAGAGACTTTCTTGCCTTCAATGAAGGAGAAGTTTTACTGCTGGAAGAGATATATTCTCCTTTCATGAATCCTTAATTGAGGGGAGCCAACTGTGACCTTTCAACATTTAAGCCTAAACTTTTTTTCCCTTCACAAGGAGAACATTTATGATGTATAGGTGGGCTGAAAATTGGTTCCCTTACATTGACTCTGAAGGGAATCACATATTCCAGATCCCTGAAAGCAACATCATCCCTGGAGGGCCTGCATACATCCTCAACCAGTAGTGAGTCCTCTCCAGTGCAGCTGCGGGGAAAGAAATCCTCCCAGTCTATCCATAAACGGGTATCAGGAAGTGACCTGGATGCCCTGAAAAAGCGATCTTCTTTGCTCGAGGAGGACTCCTCCTCTCTCAGCCGTGATGATGCCTGGAGCCTTGGGAGCAGTGACAATGATAATGATACATCCTCCTCTGATCCATCTGTATGTCTTTTGCTATCATATTATCTTTATAAAGGTTGTAACTGCTCTCTCTGGGTGTACCTCACACTGTCTCAAAGTTACCCTCATTCAGCCTTGAGTTGTAAGAGTGTAAGAGTTGTAAGATGCTGAAAATCCACTCTGACTCTAGAGGACACCTTTAAATGATTTAAAACCTGCTACTTACTGGCTTTAGCCAGAGCAACTATTTAAGAAAAAAAAAAAAATTGCTGCACCAAATCCAATCTCCCAACCTGCAATTTAATGTGGATATAATTATGGATGTACTGATGCCAGTATCAGCCAACATCAAGAAGATGAATGCAGTATTTGTCAATACTCACATATGTTATCTGATACTGTTTTTATTTTTAGTTCCACCATGGTAAACCGCAAATCTCTCTCTAAGCCAGCTCCTAGAAAAAGGAAAGACTCTACTTAGTATAATTGTGAGGTCCTTATATTTTAACCATACCACATGTAATGAAATGTATTAGAATAATCTTGGTAAGGGAATGAGCTTTTCTCAAAGTTGGAATCATATTTTTTTTAAAGTGACAATTGAACAAAAATTGCAGGAAGGGAGTGTAAACATGAAAAATAGGAGAAATAATTAACCAGAGCAAAATACAACAAATTACCACTTTTCACAAAATTGCAGATATGGATGGAACAAATGAAAACAGTACTGTGCTATGTCTTTCAGAACTTAATTGAGGAAAATGCTGTAATGACATTGCAATAGGGGAATTGATACAGAAACAAACTTTGCCTGACAATAGAGTATTTATGGACTCCTTATGGACTGGACATTACTATAACATTGTGTAAAATGCCTTTTTTTTTATGTGTGTCTAATGAGTTGATGGGAAACCTGTTGCTTGCATATAATGCCTGTTTCTGAATTTCCTCTGTCCTTGCAGGTGAAGAGAAGGAGTTTTGTGTGTCTGGGGGATTATGTGGGATCAGATGGCTCAGAGCTATCCCTCAGGGAAGGAGAAGAGGTTGAGGTTGTCCGTCATGGACCTGGCTCCTTCTGGCTGGTGCGCAACCCTGGTATGGATTTGTTTAACCCATTTTTTCATGTCCCCTTTTCAACTGTTTCACTTGAAGTAGGTTATTAGGATTTCAACACATGGCTGAAAATCAGGGATGCACTGGTACTGATCCAATTCTCCCTTGCCACACGCTGTGCTTAATGCGCGCTGTGTAACTTTTTGGAACGTCTCAGGAAAAAACCACACTCGTAATAGGATTTGGTTCCTTATGTCCATTGTGGTTCTTTTTTAATCTCCAACTGATAGACAATGAGCTTGAGCATGGTTAAAGTGGAATGCAAGAGATTTGAGAAGGCATTATATGAATGGAATGGGCCAGTGTCATTCACGTACACATTCATTCCTTCACTTTCCCCACTTCCGTCCCGTCTCCTGCCTTCCTGCGCTGACTGGTTGGCGCAGGCGCACTTTGTGCTCACGTCCATCCTGCCTTCAGTTCTCCCCTCGAGAACCAATCCCGGTTCTACAGTAGTTGCATTAACTCCTTAATCCCTTAAGGACATTATATGTAGTTCCTACCTGTACTCCTCTTTGCACTGATCGTCCTTTGTACGTAGTACTTATGTCCGACATATTCTCAGCGGGCCTGGTGAATGGTGGGGGGGAAGTTTTGGCCTATACTCAAGAAGCAAATATATTGCCGATGTAAATGTCTCCAAAGCTAAATAAATGACAGGAACTTCGAATGCTGGGTCATTAGTGTCTGAGGATTTTTTTATTTCTTCCCTTCTATGCCAAAGGTAGCATAATGCCAACTAAGGTCTCATTCTGCATTGTGGTTTCATTTCTGACAGCCACTGGGAGCTATCTGGATAGTTATCGGCCGATACCATGACACTGGGATCAGTATCGGTATCAGTATCAGCTAATCCTGGATCAGTGCATCCCTGCGGAAAATATTAAAATTACCATCAAATATAATTTTACAAAAACAGGTTGGCTTACCATGAGGTGGAGTAACAATTATAGGGTATGTGGGAAAGTTCTGTCGTTTTTTGTTTATGCGCAACTGTACTCATCTCCCAAACACTAATACAGCTAGCGATGAATCAATGATTGTTTTTGTTTTTATCTATGTGGATTAGAGTATAAAAGCATGCAGTTGTATTACCCTTTAGTCATTTGTTTATGATATCTGGAGTGAACAGCATGGCGATGGACAAGGTGCATTTAAGGCGTTGCATTCTTTATGAGTTTCAAAAAGGGAACAATGCGACTGTTGCAAGTCAAAACTTGTGTAGTGTGTTTGGGAAGGATGTTATGACAGCCTGGACATGTCAAAGATGGGTTTCCAAATTTCAATGTGGTGATGTGAGTATGGAAGAAGAACCACATTCTGGACGCCCCTCTAAGGTAGATGACGACGTTTTGCAGGCAATGCTGGAAGAAGATCCACGTTTAACCTCTATGGCTATAGGCAAGAAGCTTGAGATTCATCATTTGACCACTTTGGAGCACATCGAATGCCTTGGATTTGTTTTGAAGTATAGCATTTGGATGCCACACCAGTTGACTAAAAAAAAACTTAACCGACCTTGTAAGGATCTGTTCATCTCTTCTCGTCCATCACTGTGTTGACCCATTTTTGGACTGCCTGATTACTGGAGATGAAAAGTGGATCCTATACATTAATGCTACGAGGAAATGAGTTTATTGCAAGCCAGGAACATCCGCCCCAACCATCGCAATGCCAGAACACCACCAAAGAAAAGTGATGCTCTGTTTGTGGTGGGATAAGAAGGGCCCAGTGTACTATGTGCTGCTGAGAGTTGGTGAAACCATCAATTCTGAATGCTACTGCATGCAGCTTGAACAACTGAACAGGGCTATCAAAGAAAAGTGTCCAGTATGGGCTAACAGAAAGGGCATTGTGTGCCACTACGGCAATGCTCGACCACATGCTGCAATGATGACTCAGCAAAAACTGAACGACTTGGACTGGGAAGTTCTCAGTCACCCACCATGCTCACTGGACCTGGCACCATCCAATTATTATCTCTTCAGGTTGCTACAAAACTATCTCAATGACAAGTGCTTCAATTCTTATGAGGATGTCTCCAAGGCTGTTGGTGACTACTTCAAGTCCAAGTATGAAAACTTCTACACCAATGGCAATTGAAAAACTTCCTACAAGATGGCAGACAGTTGTATCTAATAATGGAGATTATATAAAAGATTAATGCTTAAATAATAAAAAATTTTAAAATTGAACCGAAACTTTTCCTTAAAAAACAACAGATCTTTCCCATATACCCAAATTTATCTTATAAGTTACATTTTAGTTTAAAGTTCCATTGTAGGAGAAGACTGCCATGAGCAAATAGGTTTATTTCCTTCATGTGGTAGCTTAGGTGTAAAACAGTGAGAAAATCTTGATAACATATGAATGCTGACTTTTTTTCAGCAAATGCCCAAGAGGGCCTGGTGCCAAGGTCCTACCTTCAGGTCAAGATGTGAAATCCCTCTCTCGGATCTCTAGTCTAAATACAGGTGTTTCCTTGCCATTCCATGTTGCATCTCACTGCATGCTAGTTGGCAAGAAGCTGTGCCAATTTTCCCTGCAATTCTCCTTGGAAAGTGATTTGCTCTAGTTATATGGACTGTTGTGATCCTGCCTGGTGATACAGCAGACTCCTGTGATAATCTGATGGTCAATTTAAGGCTATATAATTCTTCATGTTTTACTGGATGCACTGAAGGAGTCAAATTAAGAGTAACATGTTTAATCTGATAGGAGTATGGAAAAATGGGACCATGATCTGAATTCTGTCATGTCACTACCTCTCCATACAATTAAAATTAATAGCAGCATGGCAATGAAATCATGCCAATTGGCTGGTTAGTAAAGGGAATTAAGGTCAATTACAACACTCTTATTTGTGGTTTTACCTCAAATCCATGTTCCACTCTGCCATTTGGATGTTGCAACTGAAATTCTCTGAGGTAGACCTCAGGAAAACATCAGCTGGAAGCTGCGAATATCAGTCATTAGTAAAATATCAGGATACTTAGGTCACAGATATTGTTACACTGATCAGTGATATTTTAGAGTTAGGTGCTACCACCAGACAGCTCTTATAGGGTGATATAGGCATAGGCCTGATATTAAACCTAATTTACAACCTAACAATCTAACTTAGGTCTTGAGCACTTGGATGGGCTTTGCAACACTTGAATGCCATGCCACACAGATTGTGAATGTGGCCATAGCACAATGAATGAATGTTTATTCCTTGTAAGAAAGTATTGATCCATTATTGTCCAAAAAAATTAAGGAAGGTAGGTAATTGTAAAGAAAGGAAAGGTAGTGTGAGTATTCACTTACCCCAGATAAATACAATGAAATGAAGTAATGCAAAGTTTATATTGAGGTCTGAATAAGAAATTGAGTGCAAAGGAAAATGGTTCAGAAATATTGAAGCCATAATGTGCAGTCACAGAAACATAAATGAAACTGAACCCAAATCCTACTTGTAACTTCTAACATTCATATAAAACAATTCTGGCAGCTTATTCTTCTATTTGCAACTTCAATTGTTTAAGCACCCATTGTGCCTTTTTACACAAGGCCATTTTTTATGTGATCTGATATTTATCATATAATTTCACCATAATTTAAATATGCACACATCATATGCAATAAATCTAAGCCCTCATTATGGAGTTTTGCATTCAAATCCTCAAATTTTATTTTAGTATTAACCCTGCATTGGCTTGAAAATAATCTTTTAGAATATTGCCTTGCTGATGATTTTGTAGCCTGTTATAAAGTAACCAATGCAAATATCGTAATACTCTATCCATGACGGGATGTTTTTCAATCTCATTTGAAATAGTGTAACAGGCCCAATTTTTGCATTTGCACCAGTAAGAATACTTCAAAAAGTTCTGAATTAGTTCTGGAAAGTATGATTGTATGTTACATTTAATCAATGTTCATGTAAGAGATATCAGTCTCTACAAGGAACATGAAGCTTGTATTAATTATTGCAAATCATTCTGACATTCTAGGTCAACTTTTCATTAAAAACTTTACCACCAGATATCTGATACTTTTCTAAAAACTTCACTTTGAAGTAGTGTCCCAAATTAGTAGGAATCCTATAATAATGACCTGGGGAGCAGGTATCATTACTGCCATGATTCTTTTCTCAGAAAATCAGCTTATATGCTGAAAAAAATAATAGCAAACATCAGCTAAATTCTTAGGCTTGGTTAGTAGGCATGTGAACCAACTATCTTTCCTTTCTTAATGATTTACCTGTCTACCTTTTCATGCATGACTGATTTTTTTTTTACCACAATCCCTATGGTAATGATTTTGGGTGAATCTTGCTTTTGCTGCTCTTTCCTGACTTCCATTTTCGAAAATTCTCATACCATCCACATCACCAGAAACATATACCTTCTTTTTGAAGGGTGAACTTTGAGCTAGGTTGCTTTCAAAGTGAAAGAACTCTGAACCAGAATTGAAATATAATCAACACTACGTAAATAATATTGAGGTGGAAATACACACTAGAAGATATTCTGAAAAACAATTTTGAGAACAGATTTAAAAAATTTTTCAACTGTTTTGTAATCAAGATTGAAGGTTTGATGAAAGGGCTTTATTCACTAAAGCTTTGAAAAAAATTGCTCTAACCAGTTGTAATCATCAAAATAGAAATTTAAATGTTTGCTCTGCAATGAAAACCAGAAAAATATGAATAAGAAGGAATGTAATTACAACTTCTTCCATTTGTTTGAAAGCCATGGTTGATATTTAGAGAAAATAAGATCAATGTGTTGCATGTTTTGTGGGACACTAGATAGAAGGATCTAACACAATCAAACTTCTAATATGTTGCTGGTGAAAAAATGTTTATGTCCCAGAATTTATGAGGATCCTCATAATTTGTTCACTGTTTTTCTATGAATATAACTGATTAATAGAATTCCATGCCCCATTGACCAGTGCCACTTGAATTCCTTACAGGAATAGCTCATTGCCAATTCTTGTCTTCTTTTTCATTCCATTCCTTTTGGGACCATACAATGTACAAGTTGTCAAGAGTGATAATTAAGCCAGTCTATTCCATCTGATTTGTGTGCTTGCTTTCATCTGCTTTTGGACTTCCCTGGTGATGTAATGGAACACAGTCAACTATCTTTGTGATACATCTGGCATAATAAAGACCCAGTGAACAAAACACCTAATGTTTTATTGGGTAACAGAAAAATTATAAAAAACAGACATTACAGCATCACTGAAAGCCATGCCAAGATGAGAAGGACTCCCCCGTAAGGAGTGATGTTGCGAACAGAGTTCCAGTTGGTGAAGGCATAGATGTAACATGTCCCACAGAAGATAGCCATGCCAGATGCCATCAGTCCTGCTGTCTGATAACAAACCATAAGTAATACAATTTTTTTATTCCTTCTCAATGAGCATTGAAATTACATTACAGAACCAAAACTTGTGCCCTCTTTTGTTAGAAACTTTAAGGTAGTTAACTGATCACTTGGTCTACGAACACTTTCTTCCTGGAACTGCATGAAATGTAGCATTTTGCATTTCATTAGGATCTAAACAGATGGTGAGACATCTGAATGATGTAAGCCCAACTCCTTGGATAATGTTGTTTGATAAGGAATTAATAAATTTCACATACATATTTCCAATTCTTAAGCATGCAGCTCTCAGGACTCACAATGCCAGGTCGTCGACAGAGTGGTACAGCAAGGAGAGCAATTGAATGGAGGAAGTGGTAGCGGTTGGCTGTCTCAAAGACAATCCTCTTTTCATCTGTTGTCCCACGCTTCTGGAGGAAAACTGTCAGAACAAGATGAAAGTTATTTATGATGGTCTGGAAGATAGAATGCAATGAAATTGATGAAGCTTACCATGAGCCCCATAAGCACCTAACATGACAGCAGTTGCACCAGACAGCCCTGCCAGCACCATGATCCCTCTTGAGCTACCCATCAGACGGTGCAGGAACCCAGGGTACCCTCCTACCTGATAGGAAATTACATTGGTTGTTATACCATTAAAATATGAAGATAGGAAGATGCCATGACTGAAGTTTTTGAGGTTCATTTTCCCTTTGCTAATGGATATTTCAGTTTCTGTAACTGAGGCAATAAGGAATGAATGAAGGTCACTCACTTCTCCCACATTTAGAGAGGATGGTGCAAAACTCTTCTTCCCACGGGTCTGAGGGTCATAGTGGCTGCAACGGTCATAGGACCAGAAACCCCAGTTAACAGGGTTCAGAGATTTCACAGTGGAAGTGCCCCACTTCAGCAACTCACTCATTGCTATACTTTCAGAACTTTAATCCAGTGTTTATCCTGTCACATGAGCAAGTACATATTTGTCTAGGGTTGACAGTTGAATTGAGAGGAAAGAAGCAAGATCAAAAACTGATGATTATTTCTTCAAGATCGATTAGTTTTAACCTCAAGGGTTTAGAAAGGAGCAGTTAACATGAATGCATAATGAGATCAGGTAAAGGGAGCCACTTCTATGAAAATACGAGCCCAGTTTTCCAAGTTGCACTTTAAAGCTGAGAAAAGTTTTCAGAACTGTCTAGAATGGATGAATGTAGCTGGTACAATGAATTTTGAAATTGTGAAGAAAAAGTGAAATGGACTGTGGGGGAAATTATAAGAAAATGGTCTAAAAGTTATAAAGTAACATCTCCCATGACACTTAGTTGCTTATATCCTAAGTCCACAAATATGCTTTTTTGTAAGCCTCACTAATAAAGTCTACATATCTTGATGGCATTCGGCTTCATAATTGGATAGGCTTATCTTTGGAAGGGCCTATCTTCAGATAAGCTCATTGCATATGCCTTGGTCTACTGTAGAACAGGTGGGGAGAATGGCATCTTTCTTTATTTTGATGGCAAAACCCTTGTGGAACATACTGCAAGGTCACCATTTTGCCATCCATCCACATCCACTCTTGTTTGTGCCATTGTCATGCATAATAATACACTTGAGGCTATTACGAGCAGTCTGTCTCCTTTAACCTGTTACCTACAAATTAATGAAGGACAAGAGAGAGGAAAAATTCTGAAGGCTTAAAATATCCAGTTTGCTTGGCTGCCCAGATTACCAAGGGTAATCATACTCAGGCTAATGTTCTGAAACCAGAAGATCTCAATAAGGGCAGTCACTTATAAAGTTGGTAGTCCCTGTCCTTTGGAATGCAACTTCACCAAGGAGGATTCTCATGTCCCTCTGGGATAGCAAAAAGGGACTTATTGAATGTGTTCCACAATTGCCGCAGTTCATTAATATTTACTCTTTGTGGATTCCACCAAGCTCAGAAAATTGCACACTTGACAAGCATCACCAGCCTTAGGAGATTGTGGGAGCAGGGAATACATTACTAGAAGACAGGGCTAGATTAAGAAGTTGCAAGGCCTGGGGCAAGTGAATTACTGGGGCTCACCCCCTGCTACTTTATGCAAATACAATACTTTTTTGAACTTCACGTTCTTAATTTCCTTTGGGGGCCCCCTGGAAGAGTGGGGCCTTGGGCAACTGCCCCCTTAATCCAGCCCTGCAAGTAGATGAAGTGTAACACAAGTCTAGATATTACTTGAAAAGTTCATCCCCTCCACTAAAAGGAGATATAACTCACTAGTGTCATTAACACATTGACTGCTGTTCATTCCATAAGGTGTGTTTGACTTGACAAGTCTCCACCAACCTACAGTGCTTGGCAAGGATATTTAAGGACATTTAAATCCCCAGCAGTCAATATGTTAAAATGTTTTAGAGTAAATAGGTTGATGTGCACAGATTACTGCTTCACTTGCATCAATAAAAAGAATATTTCCTGGAAACTAGATACCAGTACAGAGAAAAAGCTCTAGCTGTGAGTGGTAAAGATGCATAAATAACATTGTCTTTCTGTCCATTCTCCTGACAGGATTCCCCATTGTTTCCTTCAAGGGTGATGACCTTTACCTTCTTGCATATACCATGGAAATATTTTCCTGATGTGGAAGGTAGTACAAATTCAATAGCTCTTCAAGTCATCGATTTATTTGGTTAAGTAGTTTCATACCAACTGAGAATGACAACTTGTTGGAAACAGGGCTCCCAAATGTGCCACATCGGTAAACTTTGGCAACCATGAGTGAAATAAGTTACCATGAAACCAGCTAAATTACATGTATTAACAAATGACATTCCCCGACATCAGTTGGAAACGAGCCATGGATTCATCATCATCTAAGAAAGTCCTCAAACCTGTGCTAAGCTGCAATTTCTAACATTAGTGTAAATGTACACATCAACTCTCCGTTCATTACAGACCGAGAGTAACATGTGCATGGAAGAAAGTAGAGGATAGAGTTGGGGAAGTCTTGATTTTGAGAGTAGGACAAACGAGTGTTTATTGGGCTCTAGGGCAACGGGAAACCTTAAAGCAAAGTCTGAGAACCATCTTCAAAGGAGACAAAATCAGAGATTTCTTCATCTCCTTATCGGTGAAGGAAGCGCTAACCGGAGATTCAAGGATAACTTTACCGAAAATGTTTGGGGGATTGCATCATAATCAGAAGTGAAGTCAATAATAGAACCACCAGAATCTGTGTGCTTTTAGGGGTAGGCATATCACAATGTTCCGCTCTAAACTATGCTCTTGTTCCCATAAACTGAACACTCCAACGGGAATAACAGATATACGATGTCAGAACGAGGAATCCACAGAAGAGACGGCCAAACCTCCCATGCGCAACACCCACCCGATGCACGCACGTGAGTGGCAGGAGAGGCAGAATTATGCCTCCGTCTGCTAGAAAGGTCTCGAGTATGTGACAGGGATGCACCATAGACCTCTCCGTCACAGGAGATATATGGAAATGTATTTGTTCTTTATAGCAGAAATATCCAAAATCTTAGTTGATATCTGAATAACTGCGGTGATGTATTCCATTTCCACCAAGAATATACGCTAAAACTACATTCCCCCCCTGCGTTTTGGTACACTTAATCATTACTGTACTGTGCTGAAGTAAATAAATATGGCGCCCTCCTGTAAGCGGCCTATGGGTGCACTGGAACTGGGGCAAGTCCAGGCGATGAGGTTTTTCGATTGAGTCAGCGTAAAATACCTTTCAAGTTGATTGGGACGCCCACGCATGTGCGTGCTGTAGAAGGGTGACATTGCATCAACAATTACGTAGGATTCCGCCAGAAATTCACTATCAATGGCTAGTTTATGGGAATTCCTGAACAGAGGTCCGACTATGATAGGGTGACCAGACGTACTGTATTTACCGGGACAGTTCCATTTTGAATTTTCTTTTCCATTCTGATGTCAAATGATTATTTCAGACTAAACGAGTGAAGTGTAAAGGAGAAATTTGTATTGAAATGAGACAGAATCAACAGAGAGGAGCTAATTTTTCGTGAGATATGAAGATTACAGGGTGGACGGGATAGTCCCGTCCTATCGCATATTTTTGACAAAATCAAATTTCGCGGTAAAATTATTGATTGTACGAATGTCATAAAGAGGAGGGTGGCTATATTGAGTAGATGATGTTCCCCTGCATATCCAGCAACATATACAAGCTGTAAACTGTTGAAATAAACGTTTTTTTTACATAAAAGAAGTGTTCTCATCGCATAAATATCGCATAAAATAGGACGGGACTATCCCGCCCACCCTGTATAGTAGGAATTAGACCAGGGATGTGCAACCCACGGCCTGCGGGCCGTATGTGGCCCGTGGACTTGCTTCTTGCGGCCTGGTAATGCATAATGGGATAACAGATAAGTTTCTTTGCAGTCGAAGGCCCATCACAACATTGGTCATCCCTTAGTAACAAGACATAGACTGAGTCCTTTCACTTCCTTCTAATTTTTCTTCATGTGGGTGGTGTTACATATGTCCTGAGGAAGAAGGTTCTCAATGCCAAAGGCTATTTTCAGATGCTGGAATTTCCTTTGGGTGGGGAGGAGGTAAAGATTATCGGCCAATTGCCCTCATTTGCCCTAAGGACCAAAGAAGGGGCCTTTTCTTTTGCATTCTGTGGCCTACGTCATGAGTCACACATTTCCATGTGGCCCAATGCTGATAAAGGTTGCACACCCCTGAGTTAGCCTCATTAGTATTCCTAAATTAATGTACTGGCTTCAATGGTTCAGTATTGCTGCACAAGGGAAGTGTGTTGACTATCACTAAAATCATCAATGGAAAAATAGGAAAATAAGATAAAAGGAATAAAGGAAAGAAATGCCTTATGAACAGATCTTATGGTATACCTGCAGTAGAAGCATAACGACTTTGGTCTCATGATGTGAAAGAGAGAAAATTCAGAACATCAAAAGTATCTTGACTATATATCCTCCTTTGGATTAGATAAAATGATTAACGGTAGAGTATGAAACTCCAGAACTCATTTCCACCAGAGGATGAGGAAATGGCATACATTAGAAAATTATACTATGATGAAATGAAGATATTATAGTAATAGATTACTTATAATAAGAGCTCAGTATCTATTAATAATAACAAATTAGCATCAAAGTCAATGCAAAAATAGACCTTTTAATGTTCATAAAGAACTTCTTGAAGGAAACTTTCAGGGTGTTGATGAATACAAAGTAAACAGTAAGTAATGGCATATGTTCAGAATTGATATGTGATATTTTTCCACCACCCACAAAATTGCTCTAGTATGTTTGTCATTAATAACCATAATTACCACATGCTTTCACCATAAGACAGCAGATGCTGGGCACCAGGGGCACTCCATCATACTCAGCCATTTCACCTTCATTGCATTTCAGTGAAGAGAAAATTTTCCCCGAAAAATAAGGAGAAACAATAAACAGGATGAAATCCTTTAGACAGTCTTCTTTTTAAAAGAGACACATCAGCTTTCAAAAGACACCAGTACATTCAGAATTCAGAGCCACAGGTTTCAGTGGGAAGGGAGAATATAATATTTATGATATCGAGAAATTTCCTACCACATTTTTTTAATTCATAGCAGGAGGTGTAGGTATTATTGATAGTGGAAGAAATTGACTGAAACCAGATGAACCAAACTTAGCCTTTGACTTTCCATATTATGAAAGTCTTGAAGAAAAACATTCCAATTTCTGGTATATTTTCTTATGAGTGCAAAAAGAATGAATTCTGCATCAAAGGCCTAAATTTGATCATTTAAATGCTGTTTTGATTTCTCTCTGACTTTCCCAAATTGGGAGAAATGTAAAAAAAAATTAACTGCAAAAAGATGGAATGCATAAAATGTAAGACAGAAACTATAAGGGGATTGCAATGAAGTAAGATCTAAGACACTTGACTATGGTATTGGCCCAAAATGTTACCTGTTGGGAGCAAACCTATACTATATAAATAGTTACATCATCCCCCATTTTAGCACTTCACTATTCCCCATGCCATAGTATATAAAAATAAATAAGGTATTTTCCCAATCATGAACCCAGTGCTATGAAGGGTTAAGTATAAATGAAATATACATCTATTCCATCAGTGCCTTACTGATAATGAGCTTTACTTGAAGCCTAGGCTCATATAATTTAATTTAATATTAAGTTTGATATTCCTAACTCAGCCTAAGTAAGCTTATCATTTTTTACCTTCATATCTAATATTGACATTTTAAACATTTTAACATTTGGAAAATGCCAAGTAACATCTGGAAAAAAAAACTAATAAAATATTACTGAATAATAGCTTTATATTAGGTTGTTAGGTATGAAATGTCCAATTTTTGGTTACTCAACAAGTGATCGTGATTGTGAATACAGAAATTCTTAAAATTATATCAGACCTATACAGAGTTAGAAGAGGTAAGAGGTGCTTAAGAATACATCATATCCAGTCAATTCTATTGTACCGTTATTTTGTTTTTGTAGGTACTTCAAAATGGTTTCTTCACAAGAAATTTGTGTTATTTTTTTATACGATATATGTTGAACCATAGTGCGTCACAGGCAGCAGGAAACATTACTGCTGCTTTTGGAGTAGGAAGTGCCAACGAACAGACTATTCGCAGGTGGTATGAAAAATTCAGCAAAGGTGATGAGAGTCTTCAAAATGAACCCAGGGGAAGACTGCAAAAACTCATGAGTTGAATACAACTCTCAATTCATCATCATCTATGAGGCTCATTTTGAAGACTTTCATCACCTTTGCTGAATTTTTCATACCACCTACGAATAGTCCGTTTGTTAGTACTTCCTTCTCCAAAAGCAGCATTAATGTTTCTTGCTGCCTGCGACGCACTATAGTTATTTATACTCATATAAAAAAATAACACAAATTTCTTGTGAAGAAAACATTTTGAAGTACCTACAAAAACAAAATAACAGTACAATAGAATTAACTGGATATGATTTATTCTTAAGCACCTCTTACCTCTTCTAACTCTGTATAGCTCTGATATAATTTTAAGAATTTCTGTATTCACAATCACGATCACTTATTAAGTAATTGAAAATCGGAAATTTCATACCTAACGACCTAATACTACAATTAATACAGTGGTGAAATTGATTGCTCTAGTAGTTCTAGTGTTAATGCCTTCATCAGGTGCTGATTGATTAGGCCTAACTCTAAGCTAACCTACTCACTGGTACAGGTCACCATTGGCTAGAAGTGCCAATGGATGAAGGCCAGTCCCCAGTGGGGGTGAGGACCCCCAACCTGAATGACATGTCAAAAGAAGATCTCATCAAGCGTTACAAGAATGTACTTGTCATTGCACAGAAGGCGAAGAAGAGCAAGGATGGTAGGTTCAACTTGCACATTTCATGGTTATATCAGTTGCATCTGTATCCCTAGACACTTGACCTCTCAATTGAGTTTCCTATGCTCATGCATTTGGGCTTGTGACTACTGGAGAACTAGCATGCAGAGGAAATTTCTCTTATCTGGGTCAGCTTCTAGTTCAGAGTCTTGATAAAGTGACATCTCGAGGCTGTAGTGGTGTAGGATCAGGAAAATGTCCAAGTCACCATGACATGTGAATAGAAATCCAGGAATGATGGTAGAAGGTTCCTCTATACTATGATGTAGACTCCAATGTTCTGAGAGGCTATATGAGGGATTATGTAAATATGATTTCATCCCTTCTGGAAGCAAGAGTATTTGCTTGAGGGAGCAATGGTGGTTGTTTTCAGATGAATCACAGTGAATTTACTTCCCAGAGTGTCAGGCTTTTTGTCTCTTGATATCACTGATACATTGAGTTATGATGAGGGATTTTCTTGGCCTCCATTGAGAGTAAATATGCTCTCATTCCTTTCTTCAGCCAGGTTGATGTCACTATATTTGGAGTGTATTATTAGTACTTCTAGGCTGACTTAACTAAGTTTAAAATTTAAATAACTTCAACATGAATATTTATAGGCTAGACCTCTACATCAGACTCAAAGACCAAAAATTGACAATAATCATATACCACTGTTTTCTTTGGCATTGGTCTAAATCATGAATCATCCTTGTAAAACATATATGATGGTGACTTGGCAGACCTTGCTCATTGCGCAAAGTCAGTAAAGTCATGCTATTCACAGACCAGGAGTTATGTTAACAGATGGTTTCTTTCCTCTACCTTGCAAAGTGCTCCAAGTTTAGTTAAGTGGAGCAAGCAACATATAGTACTGCAAGAACAAGCAACATACATGCTTCTGTAATGGGTAAGAAGACTCTGCAAAATGGAATCGGTGTTCCCTGTCGTATTCTTGATCAAGCAAGTTAGATAAGCAACAATGCCCCACTTTGCCTGAAAGAAGAAGTTGAGCTAGCTTGCAAGATAGAAAATCATAACAAACCCCAAGAGTGGCACATTTCAAATTTCATATGTGATTAATATACAGAAGTTATTTCATTTGCAGAGATTGCCAGTAGGGTGGAACCATTGGAGCAAAAAATCTCCTTCTTGGAACAAGAGCTTGTTGACAAGAAGAACTTAGAGGAAGAATTGGAGAACATGAAACAAATCCTCAACCAGGTGAGTTTTCCTTAAATTCTAATTGGTAAGCGATCAATGAAATAAATAAATGTTAATCCTACAAAGTAATGCATTGGTCTGAAGTGACCTTAAATTCATTGAAATGAATTGACCCATTTTATCTGATTCAGCATCAAAATAATAGAAATTATTATACTGTGGATAATGAAGGCATAGGTTGATGTTTCTTTTTAAAGACATAAGTATCCCAACTGAACTATTGACAAAATGTTTCACTATCTTATTATGATACTGCTTAAATATAAGGCTTGATGCTTGGTGATGCTTGTCAAGGAAAGGTGGTTACAGAAATGTTATGGGTTTAAAAAAAATCTGTTTTTTTTTTACTTTTTATTAATAAAAATGTTTTATTATTACTTTCCTAGATTGTCTAGATTGTCTCATAGAAATCTTTTGGTGCATACTTGTAAATTCCATGAAGCCTTGCTTAATCTTTGCACACAATGGAGTCATTAGTGCTTGAAATGATTTAAGGGTAAGTTGCAGAGTATCTTATATCAGGCAGTAGAAAACCTTGCCTTCTTTCAAGTGGTTTTTTGTTTTTGTTTATTTCTCTGCTAATGCGTGATCCTGTATGGCAGGAGAGAGGTTCCTTTGTTGAGGCAAGAGAAGCATATCAGAAGCAACTGGAGGACATGAAGGCTGACAAGGGGCAGATGGAATCTGTCATTCAACAGGCCCTGTCTGATAAGGAAGAGCTCCACCTTCAGCTCCAGAAGCTTTCAGTACAAAGACAGGAGATGGAAGAACAGGTCTGTGTTTGTTTTTCAGACTTGAGATTTTTGTCATATTTATATTTAAATAGAATTTTAATAACATGTCAACAATCTGCTCCTTTTTTGACCCCCCAAGGACCTCTTTGTTACCTTTATAATAGAATGAAGGAATAATTATACAGATTAATATTTGTGTAAGTGATGCAACTGCACCTATTTAATATCTATTGAAACTCAAAAGATGATGTCAACTCATGCCAGCTGAGCTCTTGCTTTGGCTGATGGCTCTTGCACAGTTATGCTCAAATTTTTTGAGCTGGTGGTCACATTCAGATACAATCAATTGAACACCTGCTGTACTTGGAAAAGTGGCCTACCAGAACTATGAACATTTTTTAGTCAACCTGATACTCATGTAATAATTTTAATGGACACAACAATACCATTTGTGGTAAGACCCTGACTTGGGGTTGGTGTACTATGCCTGCTAATCTAAATAGGCCCATGTGCATAGATCCCATATTCATAAAAAGATTTGAAGCTATTTGTTTCTGAAAGGTACTGAATCCTTGTTATGGGTTCACTTGGTTACTGCAAGGTAAAGTTGCTTCTGGAGTGTTTGTTTTTGGGGTATGTACAATATGTATTCTCTGAAAATATTTTGTTTTGCTGAAAAGTTCATTTTGTCTTCATGGGCTGCATGTGAGGCTTCCTGGTGCAAATTTGCTACCTATAGGTTTTTTAGATTTAAAACCACTGCTTTAGCACTATTACTTCTTTTGTGAGTGGGGCATATAAGTTGCCATTTGGACCAAAGATTATGGAGGGCTAAGCTTACTAGGTTTTGCTTCCAATCTATGCAAAAGATCAAAGCAGTGAACAGGAGTGCTAATAATGGATTGATTATTGATTGGTTCATCTTCCTCAATGAATTTTATTATGTTCTTATTGATGTTACTCAGTCACTGAATTGAAAAGTTGAAAAGCTTAGTATGGGTCTGCTTATCATCTCACTAAGGAGTTTTGAATCTAAAATTTAAGAAGGCCTAGAGTTTTAAAATAAAAATAATGGTTGTTTTCATGTGGACAAGAAATTTTCATGCTATAGACCTGCAAGGTCCAGGTTCAGGAATTAGATACTGCAGCCTGCCCAAAAGTTATGTGTTTTTCCAAGCCCCTCTTTCATTTCTTTTCTAGCTGAATGCCCAGATCCAGGCCAGCACAGAGAAGCTTGATTCGCTGGCACAAGAAAAGACAGAGCTCCTCCAGCAGTGGCAGAGCCTTACCTCACAGAATGCAGACAAGCCAAGTCTCCAGTCTCAACTTGAGGAATACCAGGGAAAGCTGAAGGAGTCCGAACTCAAGAACTCTGAGCTTCTAGCACAACTTAAAGATCTTCAAGATCAGATTTCAAAATCAGGGGGAGAATTACTTTTGGCCAAGACAGTTGCAGAGGAAAAGGAAAGTGAAGTTGGTAGTCTTCAATCTGCATTAGCTGATGCAGGAACAAAGCTCCATGAGAAGAATGAGGAAGTGACAACTTTAAAATCAAGTTTATTGGAAGTGAAGATGAACCTTGAGAAGAAAGAAGTGGAACTCCAATCAGCCACAGAAGATGCAAAGCAACTCCTTGAAGAGAGAGACAAAGAACTTGAAAACTTGAAATCAAACCTGGCAAATCTCCAAGACCAGGCTTTACAGAAGAGTTCAGCCTGGGCATTGCTTGAGCAGGAGCTGAAAAGCAAAGCTGATGAAAATGATTCTTTGCGTGAAAAGTTGGAAGCAGCAGCACAGAAAAAGACACAGCTCTCCCAGATGCTGGACAAGGTGGATCAGGAAAAAAAAAAACTGGCCAAGGAACTACAGGAAACATTGCCAAATATGGCAAGCTTGGAGGAGGAGAGGCAGATGGTGGAAAAACTAAAATGTCAACATGAGGAAGAGCGGGCAGAGTGGGCTAAGGAACAGAGTCAACTTGAAGGGAATCTGATGCGATTGTCAGGGGAGGTTGATCAGCAGCAACAGGATCTCATGGAAAGAGAGAGAAGGCAGGTTTCTGAGTGGCAGAAAGAAAAAGACACATTGTGTGAAAAATTGCAATGCCTGGAAGATGAGAATGAGGTCCTCAGGAAGACCTGTGTGGAAAGGAACTCATTGTCAGAAGGTTTGGAACAGAATTTGCAGGGGCTGGAAAAAGCTTTAATGGAAGAAAGGTTGAAATGCAAGCAGCTGGAAGAAATCAAGGTCAGCTTAGAGGACCAATTGGCTGAACTTGAGCAGAGTCTCAGCTCTCAAGTAGAAACCAGGCAAAAACAGGAAGCAGAGTTCCTCACTGAAAAGGAGGTGCTGTCATCAAAAATTTGCATCTTAGAAGCTGCACAGTCAGAGCAGGATGCGCTCAGGGCTGAATTGAAAGAGCTTGAGATTAAGGTTGGTGAACAAACAAAGATAATATCTGACCTGGAATCTGCAAACAATGCTCTTAAGTCAAATTTGAAAGAACATGAAAGTGCCAATGAGGAGCTTTGTTCTATTGAGCAAGAGAATATTGGCCTGAAGTCAAAGTTGGCTGGTGGATTGAATGAATTGACAGCTTTGAAATTGAAGGTTAGTGAACTGGAACAAGTTGTTCTGAGTTTAGAATCACAGAAGAACACTCTGGAATCTCACTTGGAAGAACTGGAAAGCGCAAATGAAGATGTTTCCATATTGAAACAAGAACAGTTGGAACTGGAGCAGAAACTTCAGCTGAGTGTGGAATCTATCAAGGTACTCAATGAGCAAGCTTCTCTCCTGAAGTCCAATGTGACAGAACTGGAGGAAGAAAGGGTGCAACTTACATCCAAACTGGAAGTAGCTGAGAAACTGAAGTCTGAAGTTGAAACCACTACATCCAAATTAAATCAGAGAGAGGCTGAGATTGTTGAGCTTCAATCAAGATTAGTTGAGGAGCAGAATTCTACAGAGCTGCTTCGTAAGCAGTCAGCAGAACATCTAGATGAAATGAAGGGCATGAATGAAATTATTAAGCAGAGAGGGGAGAAATTGGCCAAGCTGGAGGCTGACCTTGCCAATCTGCATGCAGAAAATGCCACCTTGAAGTTGCAGGAAGGTGTAGAAAAGGATCATGCAGATCTTGCAAAGCTGAAGGCAGAAAATGAGGAGCTTCGTATGAAGATACATGACCTCATGCTTGCCTCATCAAGGTTTGTCCTCACTAAGTCATGGGTTACATGCTCCAGATTGAACTTATGCTTGTTTTGGTTTCTTAAAAACAGGTAGAAGATCAACCTGATGTAATATATTTGCTTTGAGACCTGTTGTGAAATAAAACCAATACAATTTAAAGTGATTTGGTGAATGTTCCCCAATATGTCAGCATATAGACAGGAGTGATAAATAAAAAAGTTCTAGGACTGGTTCTGCAATTCCTTTCTTTTTTGATTCACAGATGTCACTTCACATGAGTATCTTATATTGCACCTCAGGGGCCTTTGGAAAATTTTCATTTATCACTTCTTACATGTATAAATATGATCTCTCTAATGAGGAGTGACATCAGTTCATCAAAGAATAGTTGCATTATGGAACCAGTCACAGAACTTTTGTTCACTCCTTTGTCAAATATTCACATAACCAGTATGTGGAGAACATTGACTCTGCAAATGTGAATGATAGTAGGGAGGAAGGGGATGGAAAGGAAACAGAGACGAGTGAGTTCGCCAGCACGTCCACATTTAGCCGCACTGAAGAGTCACAGCGCATGAGAGATGTCGATGGCAGCCTTGAGGAATACAATCAAAAGGTAATAATGCCTATATCTCTTAAGGTTTCTCAGTAGGATTCCTTTGAATGCTTCCCTCTTGGGATTTACTTGAGGCCCAAAGTTTTTAATCTCTTCAATTTCCTCTCTGACTGAAAATCACATTTAACCTTAATAGGCTGAAAGGTACCACTTACTTACCACTAAATACATACTTACCACTAAATGTGTATTGCCAGACTAATGGATTCGTTTTTGTAAATATGGTTTTTGTTTCATTGTTTTACCATCAATAGTTTGAGGTATTAATTTTTCCCTGAGAGCTTGCACGTGTTTGCACTTAACATTTAAATGCCGTACCATAAAGGTTATAATTAAAAAAAGCCCATCTTATCCTGGTTGATCACTTAAATGAAATTTCAGAGAAATACTGTTGTATTTGCTATTTTGTTTAAAAAGAAATAATAGCCTACTGTCATGAGAGGGTATTCAATGATACTAAGGGCAAGTATGGAATATAAACATGTTTGGTTTGCCAGGTAAATAAGTAATTTCTCCTTTTCACTATGATATAAGTTGGGCCTTAATTCTCATGTCTTAGGGATGTCTGAATCTTAAAACATGAGTAAATATGAGTAAATGTCATTTGTATCTTCAAAGGCATGATTTAAGTTGGAAAATCATGACTATGAGCCTAAATATAGGTGAATATATTAAAGTAATTTTTTTAAATCATCAAAGAGGCATTCCAACTCAAGTGGTCACATTTTAGTCACCTTTGTTGGGCTTCAGACTCCGAATGGATTGAAAAAATTTAAGCAAGTTGACATCAAAGACTTATGAAAATGTTTCAAATTTGAGCTCTCTGGCTCTAATGGTTTTCGAGATATGCAGCCCTAAACTTAGCTCCCAAATGGAAAAGTAACCTTTGGGGTAAAAACACTATCTTTGGTTCCAGTTGAGCTAGAAAAGTGTATTTGGACTCTAATTAAAGCTGAGACAATGCAAGATCGCATTATCAAGTCCATTTTCTACTATGTTCATCACCAAGTGAGTTACACAAATTCAAAAATGGCAAATATTGCCGAATTTGGGATGCAGATTTTAAGCACTAGGATGCGTGCCAACACAATGAGCTTTTGCAACCTTGTAGACTAAAGCAATGCCAATTCAAGAACTAAATCTCAGCTTCCTACATTGTTTGAAACAGCTTAAAATTAAATTTGAAAACTCCAATTTTGCCTATTTTCACCCACTTTGAAATGAAATGAAACGTAAAGGAAGAGTAAATGTCAGCACAATTGTAGTTGCAGCAAATCCATGAAGCTTCAAATCTTATTTTTTAAAGCTTGGAACAGGTATAAAATATAATCACAGCTATTTATTGGTCACTGGTGAGATACACCCAGACCTGGTTGTTTTACCAGGATTCCCAAAGTTGGTACTTTGGGTAAAACATTTCAAGAGGAAGACTGAAAAATCAATCTTTCAAAAAATTACACAGACGAGAATATTGAATTCAACAGCATGAGTAATACATCATTGGAAAGGACTTAGATAGAGCTTTTTTTGCACATTAGTTTCAAGTTTGGATCATGTTTGAAACAGGGTGTGCACACCGTCAAAGTGGGTGAAAATAGGCAAAATTGGAGTTTTCAAATTTAATTTTAAGCTGTTTCAAACAATGTAGGAAGTTGAGATTTAGTTCTTGAATTGGCATTGCTTTAGTATACAAGGTTGCAAAAGCTCATTGTGCTGGCACACATCCTAGTGCTTAAAATCTGCATCCAAAATTCGGCAATATTTGCCATTTTTGAATTTGTGTAACTCACTTGGTGATGAACATAGTAGAAAATGGATTTGATAATGCGATCTTGCATTGTCTCAGCTTTAATTAGAGTCCAAATACACTTTTCTAGCTCGGCTGGAACCAAAGATAGTGTTTTTACCCCAAAGGCCACTTTTCCTCTTGGGGGCTAAGTTTAGGGCTGCACATCTTGAAAACCATTAGAGCAAGAGAGCTAAAATGTGAAATGTTTTCTTAAGTCTTCGATGTCAACATGCTCAAATTTTTTCAACCCAATTGGATTCTGACATGCAACCACTTGGCCACTTGAGCTGGAATGCCTCCAAATTTAAATCATGCCACTCTTTTTAAAATTTTTTTACTGGTGTGTTTATCATGCCTTTATCATAGGAAGAGCAGAGGAGAAAATATAAATATAATATATTTTTCATTGTTTTTATAATTGTTTCTCCAGAAGATCATTTTTCTTTCTGCAATATTTTTCAAAATTGATTTCAAAACTGAAAATTGTTCTGAGTTTTCACACTTTATGCTGCAGTACATGTTGAGCATGCAAAGTCTATTTTCTGGTGGGCCTATTGAGGAATATTGCCATCATGTCTCCTTTTTATTTTTTTGCCTGATAGTTGAAAGTGATAGCAATCAAGCAAAAGAAGAAGATTGCTGACCTAACTTCACAGCTCAATGCATTCTTGGAGGAGAAACGACGACTAAATATGGAGCCCTCAGTGCCGAGCCAGGTATGGGTTGGAACTCTTCAATTCACCTAATGCTATTAAACAAATTTCCTACTCTGATGATTTGATCCTTAATCCTTAATTTCATCCTTTGATTTTATTATGTATGATCCTTTTGATATAGCAGGCTAATTATCAGGTCAAAAACCCAAATTTGTAAGCCTTGGGTTGTTTATTTCACAGCCAGATAACTTAGTAATAGGCAGAAATGCCCTCTGGAAACTTGGTGTGCATGTACCTTTTAAAAATGCCTACTTTAATTTTTAAAAATGAAAATAATGTTTTCTCATCATTCAAGGTCAAAGGTCAGGGACCTTGTTTGGACCTAGGTGTTCATTTGGTAGGAAGTTTAACATATTCTGGCTTGAATAATTTCTGAGGTATGGAGACATTTGTGCTGAAGGATTTACAGAAAAACATGTTCAGATCAAAACGCTGCCATCCTTCATCCTGGGGATTATGAGCCTGCATTTAAAATATTTAAAGCAATCTTTTGCATCACATTTCAGAGCCATGATTCGAGGGCTGAAGGAACTTATGTATGTACATACCAATATCTGGTTCACATCAGTCAGTGATACCCATCTATTTATATATATTTTCCTGTACTGTTCATGGGTCAGGAGGTAAAGAGTTATCAGCCAAAAACTGAGTGTATGGTTTTTGGTATTTTTCAGCATTTATTTAATAAAGTTTCATTGAAATTCATTGAAACATCCTGGAAATTCTGCTGAGAGTTGTCCAATCGTTTGCTCCCATAATCTGATCTGGACTCAAGTGACAGCTTGAACACATCAGTTGTTTCAACCTTGTTCTAGTAACTACCAGCTTGCTTGTTGCTCAAGCACATATTTATTTATTTATTGTTCATGTGTTTTACATCATACTTTTTTTGACTTGAACTTTTTCCCCCTATGCAACACTTAGGATGAGCCCATAAACATATTTATTTTACTGGTTCAGATCTATCTAAAGGCACTCATGACATCAGTGGATGCAATGAAATTGAACACACTTCTTTGCAGTTGATATTTGCTATGCTGAAAAAAGCTAGACTTTTTGAGACATACACTGATAACTGACATGTTGACCAATGACCAGATTGGTATTCATTCTGACCTCAGCTTCATGTCCACTAATTAAGTGATGCCATTTAAGCATTTCCTATCTATAATTGGGTCATAATTGCTTTTGATTATGCTATAGTTATAGCCTGGTAATTGTGGGGAGGTCACTATGCCAAGGTTCTTCACACTGAGGAGAAAAAGTTATGATATTTTGTGTGATATTCTTCATTGGCTGATTTGAGCCAAGTATTTGTGGATTACCAACACTGAAAACTGAGATTGAGCAGGCCAATCAATACTGATGTCAGCATTTCATTCATCGCTAATGAAAAAAATTTGAATCTAGCATGCCATATGGTAGCATATGTCCTGTTTTGCCCGCCCCTTTTAAGAAATTTAGTTACTTGTTAGATTTCACCTAGTTGTCAGGTGTTGGTTTGTGAGTTTATCAGTATATTCTTTTTGTCGGTGTTTGCAGGAATGCTACTGCTTCAGACTTCGTCTAAATTTAAAATTTTAATAAACTTGGCCTTTTTTCCCAATTTTCATTCTGTCAGGCATATTATAAAATATTAATTATTTGAAATTAATTGGAGCAGATTTCCATTTCTCATTTGCCTCAACCACCAGTCACCCCTGCACACCATCTTCTGGCATCTCTTTTCATTCTCCTTTCTGTCCTTCATTTATCATATTCCCCAATTTTTACCTGAGTGTCCCATCTGTGATGGTGTGCTCAGAAGAGGCTAGCAACTGAAGGGAGCTGATTGTGCAGGGGTTCCAGTCAGAGATGGATGCCCTGAGAGCCCAGCTGGAGAGGAGCCAGGTAGCAAATGCAGTCTTAAAAAAAGATATGGATGCAGCCATTGAGTCTCACACAACTGCCAAGCAGGACCACAGTCAATGTATTGAAGAACGGGATGCTGCTTTACTGGAAGTCAAGGTGTGTTGACTCATAAGCATATTAGGACTTGAGACCAGGTGAATGTGAGAGACATAGGGCAATGGAAATTATGTGCAAAAGAACTTTGGGGCTTTCTAATTTGGGTAGAATCAGCTTTGGCCCAGAATAAAAAGTTATAATCCTTTTCAGCCTCCATATTAGTGATACCTGTGCAACAGGTGCAGGAATTCCAAAATTATGATTTGCTCACTGAGAGTAGTTTTCCCTCTATCTGGCCAGACTCTTACAGAGAAGCTGAAGGACAAGACAAAGGATGCAGAGACACGGCTGATCCACAACCAAGAGGAGGCAGGTCGCACATCCAAGCGGGAAGCTGAACTTCGGGAAGAGCTGGAGCGGACGAAAGAGAAATTGCGTGCAGCAGAACGGAATGAAGCACGTGAGCAGCAGAAGTGTAAGGAGGCTTTGGAAAAGTTGGACCGTGCTCAACAGGAGGCCAAAAAGCACAGTGTCCTCAATCTGGAAATTGCTGACTATGAGCGAACAATTGCTGACCTCAGTGCTCGTCTAAAGGATAAGGACAGAGTTGTTGGTGAGTACATGTTCTGGCTGTGTCATTTCTAGTTGCATGAATTCTGAGACAGTAGTATGAATTAATTTATTTGCTACCTTGTCAGCATTACTTTTTAATTATTATACATGATTGGCTTTTTGCACTCCCTTGTCTGATGTTTAATTATTCTCAATTTTGGAAAGGAATATGCTAGAATACAATGCTACAATATGTGGGGTTTCTTTTACAAAGAATGCCTAATAAATTGGAATACTTGAGTCATCCAAGCTACTAATAGCCAAGCTATGGAGCCCTTAAAACTGGGAGGAGTCTGATCTTAAATCCAAACATATTTGTAGGTCATAGCCTTAACAAGTAGGCAGAAAGTAGGTGTAATATAGAGGTTTTGGTGAATTGCTGATTAGGGGAACTGAAGGAAGAGATATCATCAACATCAGAACTTGTGACTGGTCTCAAGGAGCAGCTGCGGATGGCTGCTGACCAAGAGGCCCAGGAGCGCCAACGTGCTGAACACCTCAAGGTTGTTTGCTCTGCCTTTTTTTCAGTCCTTCATAGCCTTGGGGTCAAAAGATCCCTGTGATGTGGCCTTCAGTTCATGTGGCATTCTCTATCATATCCAGAGGGAGTTGACTTTAAATGCCTTGAGACCACTTGAACTTTTTTTTTTTGTTGCATCAGGCATTAGTTCACATAGGAGTGGAAGTCTGGTGACATTGGGGTTCATGGTGTAAAAGTATTTTTTAAAAGTAGGCTTCTGACAACCTGCATAATTGTTATAGTGCTACAGTACTCTGGTCAGTCCTTGGTAATACAGTGTCAGGGAACAAGTAGTGTGACATGATTGCCTATATCCCCATTATAATTCTTATTCTCCAATCATTGAAACTATGTCTAAGGTCTTGTAGGGAACTGGCTTTCAAGATTCCTTCAACACTACTGCCTAGAAGTGAGAATTTTTTCGTGTCTTGTTGCCTCTGCAGCACCAAATTATCCTCATAGAAACAATGCAAGCAGTACCATGAGCTTTTGTTACTACATGCAAGCTTTATGTACTGATTGGCTGAGAAAGCTACAACTGAGACTTCGGGATTAAGAATCATTATACATTCTTACTATTGTCTGTCTCAAGCAATCTAAGAAATGAACAACCAAAAAAGCACAAACTTTCATTCTTTCTACTCGTTCTCCATAATGCAGTAACAAATCTTGAATCTGGAAACATGAGTAAAATTGATAGGATATAGGCATTTATGGGGAAAGTAAGGGACAAGTAAAAACAAAGGGAGAAAAGTAATTTTTTTGTTAGCTTTTAATTTCTTAGAGTAACTGAAATAGACAATAATATATGTTACATGCCTGTGGCACTTGCATCCTTAGTCATAGTGCACATGGTATGGTGCACATCAGTAAGAAAGCATACATTCCCAACTTGTTGGGACTGTATGGTTTCTTAATGGGAACTGTTACTTTGACACTTGAGTGAATCTTAACCATATGGTGTGATGATTCCAGAGTCAGCTGGGAGCTGTGCGGGAGCAATTGGCAACATCCCGCAAAAAAGAGGCAGAAAACATGGCCATCAAGTCCCAGCTGGAATCTCAGGTACTTTGCATTGCACCCTCCCTGGCTAATAGTTCTCTTCTAAAACCTTTGTAAATGCATGCTTAGTATGCATCTATGAAATATTTTGTTTAAAATTTTCACACAATATTGAAGGCACCATTTATGAAACTTGTTTGACATGCCTCAATTATTTCCTTTGAAATGTTTTTGTGTTTTTCCCTTTCCCATGCTAACTTTTTCTTTCGCATGTGTGGTACTGTTGCAAAATAGGCCAAGTATTATATTTCCCTTGCAGATCATTTTATCAGGTTTTACCAAGGTCTTAGCCATGCAATACTGATAGAAATGCATTGAGGTCATGTGCTATGTTTCTGAAACCAGGTGGAGTTGCTGACACAACAGGTGGAAGCAGGGAAGCTGGAGATGTCAGAGGTCCTGGCCACTAAGGAGCGTCTCCTTGAATCCACAACCATTGGCCAGGAATCTCTCAAGAAACAAGTTTGTGCTTCCCTCTGAACACTGGGTTATCAAAGTGCTACAGCTGAATATTTAGAATCTGCCTTTTTGGTGTAATGCTTTCTATGAATTTGTAATCAAATTGTATGCATTTTGAGCTTTCAGAGAAGAATAACTTTTATTTCAAGAAATGGCCAAATTGGACAAAAGCCTTCATGGTTTGGACAGTTCTGTTTTTACATCCTCACATGCTATATTTTGACTTTTTTGCACAGGAAGTGAAAATTTAATTTGCAATTTCTTTAAGGGTACATCTTGAAAGTAGGAATATAATCATAGTGGTGGCAGAAGTGTGAATGAAAATCATGCTCACACAAAATATTTTTAGCTAAACTAGAAATCACAAATTTGCTGTCTGAACACCATCAGGTGTCAGTCCTGGAGAGTCAACTGAGCACAGCCAATCAGGAATGCTTGGAGATGAAATCGGAGTTATTGAAGGTGCAGACCGAATTTGAGAGCTACAAGGTGCGGGCACAGAGTGTCTTCAAGCAGCAGAAGTCCCGGTCCTCTGTACGGGAAGAGATGCAGGCAGAACGAGAGCAGCTTCAGGCCCAGTTCAACAAGCAGATCCAGGCATTGCGGACACGCAACCAAGAACTTGAGTTTGTTTCTGTCCATTTTTCTTCCTAGAGTCTAATATTTTGTTTTTGGTTACAAGGGAAGGGGTACAACATTTGGAATGAGGGTACATCACATCACCAAACACACATTTCAGCCCAATTATTTGTTATCAGCATAATATGCTCATCCTGGAAACATGTCAGTTTTGGGCTAGGCTAATCCCTTGTTATTGTAAAAGATAATACAGGTTGTAAATGTGGTTCCTGTAATGTGCCATTAAAATTGTAGTTGGCTGATATTTTGCCTGAGTGAATTTGCCAAAATATAATTGAATCCCTCTATAAAAAAAAAGAGAATATTTTGCCTGAGTGAATTTGCCAAAATATAATTGAATCCCTCTATAAAAAAAAAAGAGAAAAGTACAGTTAATTTTTACTAATCCAGTCACTGATAATAAGGAATTTCTATTAGTTTGGGAATATTTATGATCCTGACAACCATCCTTCATACCCCTTGTGAAAATTCTTTAGTTATTCTTGACATCACTTATGCAGGATTCCTGCATTTCATGCCATATATTTTATGTGCCAAAGCAATCTTTCCTGTTGAAATAAGAATTTCAGGATGGAAAATTTTCCTTTCATTTTGTCTTTTTTCTCATCCAATGATGAAAGTAAGAGGGGAAGGGGCTCTCATGCCCTCTACAATCGGAAGAATTAAAAAAAGCTGAAACATGAAACCAGATTGCAGAACATAGCAAGTGCTGTAATCTTCTCTGGCATGAGGGATCACTGTATCAGGTTTTCAAGGTAATCCAATCCCCTAAATATGAGGTCAATGTGAATTTGCTGAACAAGAGCTGGTATAGACACATTCAAGTGGTTGGGGAAAGTACCACTTGTTAAGTCTGCAGTGAGGCAGAGTTGATCGTAGTCATGCTCCTATGGGATGATTGAGGCTTTTTTTTTGCAAGGGTGGAGGACAGCCATATATGTAAAGGTAGGCATGGACAAGCATGACATTTGGACAAGCATGACAAATTTGGACCATCCCTCAAGCCTCATGGGGAATGTCACATGGTGCATTCGAGCCACAGAAAAAGAGGTTCCAGGATTAGTAGACTGTAAGTAGAAGAAAAGTATAGGAATAATATTAGGAAGAGTAAAAAGACTACTTTCAACATAACTCATGAATTTAGGATCCTGTGAGTACACAGTTAAATTCAACATGGTTAACAGTTAATTTATAAATATTTCTATTATGTGTTATATTATTTTCCCTTTTTTGTTCTCAAATTAACATTTGATTTGGATAGGGAGAAGATGAAGACATTGATGGTTGAGAAGAAGACACAAGAAGAAGCAAATGCCCTTCTGGAGCAGACAAAATTGGAACTGGAGGAGACTCTGCACACGAGGGAGGGTGAGACACAATGCGAGATGCAAGACCTGCGAACACAATTGCAGGGCCTACGGGATTCCCTGACCGAGGCCCGTACTCAAAACTCCATCCTCACTACTAGCTACCAGGTCTCTTCAGACAATATCCAAACTGTACCTCTTTGAATAGACATTTCCTTTATGCAGACTTTCAGAAATTGAATCAGAAGGCAGTTTTGCATATTTGCTTATTATTCATTTTGGGGAGAAATGCATGTTTCATTGTATCATGAGATCAATTCTCTTTGTGTCAGGTCTCCTTTGTTTTCCTTTATAGTACATAGAAGTCATCCATGTGTAGATTTTGCTAATTCATGTTGAGTTCCAGAGATTACAAATTTTCATGAGTTAGACATTAGGGAACTAAGTGAATCATGCTAATTAAAGCAAATCATTGCTCTCAGATATGCACAAATTATGGGTGCTCATGCCACTCTCTCTTGGAAAAGGAGAAAGAACTGCTCAGTGAATGTAACTGGAGAATGATGATGCATGTGAACCTTCACAATAATGACTAGCATGTCATGCATGGCAGGATGAGTTGGAGAAGCAGCGGCAAGTGCGAGACAGTATGGAGAAGACCCTGCGGCACCAAATAGCTGAGTTGGAGCAGGAGACGGTGCGACTACGTGGTGAGCGAGATGCAGCCCAGCAGGAAGCAGCCCGAGAGCAGGCCAAACTCCAAGAGGAGCTCCGAATTGACATCTCCAATACCCCTCGGGAAGAAGGAGAGGTGAGGGATTCCTGCTTTCTCTCTAAATTTTATATGAGTTTCAGATTGAAAGAAATTTTGAATTTCGTTCATTATTCTTTCCCAGTTGACGTCTATCCAACTCCATTTTTTATATATTCATTCTTTCTTTTGAATATTTCTTTAATGGGATTATCTAACAAATAGGATTAACCAATTAGATTATTTTAGTTTTTTAATCATGTGACTTAAGGGAATTAATTAATTTTTCCCATGAACTTCAAAGTTCATGGAAAAAATGAGATTGTATCAACAATATAGTATTGATATCCCAGGGTTCCCCACAAAATGGGGCAGCATGTTGGGCCAACCCTCTTTCCCCTCTGCTTGACCCTGCCCCATCCTTCATAGAGGTACATCCCTACCTCCAGGTCGGTGGCTCTCATGTATGATTCCTTTGATCCCTACTTCCTTCCTTTCTCCCTCCCACCTGCTTGTGTTTGGGATACCTGCCACAACTGCTGCATGGCTGTGCATGCATCTAACACTGGCTGCTGTGCAAATTTTCATGGGGGAACCCTGAGTACTCATGATTTTTTTAATATGGACTAGGATGGACACATTGAAGGATGAATGCTACAAGGGTTTGAACACATTAGAGTAAAGGAAAGCCATAGCTCCACATGCTCTCTGTCTCTCAATATACCATTTTCATGAACCCAAGAAAGGTGATGACAGCTTCAGTGCCAACCAGAGGAGAGTCATAATGTGGTTGATATTCTCGGCGCAGCAGAGCGCACCTATGCAATACGCATGCGTCATCAAATCATCCATTTCGCAAAACCAGATGACCCGCACAGGTCACGTCATTACCTTCCGAGGTCTCGCGGTGGTAGGTACTAGGAGTAAGTAGATTAGGTAGGAACTCTCTCGCTCCCTCTAGCATTCATACCACTTCATCGATTTTCTATTGAAGAAACAGATACACACTGACTATGTAGTGGCTTTCCTCTGTATCCCTTTGACTTTCCTAAATATCAAAAGGACCTTTCTCAGCATTGAAGTTGGACTCGGAAGAATGGGAAAAAGCACTAGTCGTGCATGTCATGTGCGTCACAATACATGGCGGAACTCTTGCGAGAAGAAAATTTATTTTCATAAATTTTGCGTTGCATGATTTTTTTCTGCATCAGAACCATGATTCAAGGTGCAGAAGATGCTCGGAGGGAGAAAAGAACCAAGATGATGAAGTTTCACTCTTAGGTGATCATCTGTATAGTAACATCTGCAGAATTTCAGATAGCTGCAAGTTACGCAACTTGAATGATCAAATGCTCCTCATCATCCGTCTCCGAGAAAATAGGAAATCAAGGACTTTCTAGGGGCCCTAGTTGTCCCAAGCCGACCTCTGGGTCATTATACGAGGTATTTGTCTCTCCATATACCCTTAGCCATCCTCTCTATTTCATTTTACAATCAATCTCACAATTTTGTACGTAATTATGCTTTCACATATTGATAGATACTAAATACAGGTATTCGGACAAAACAGGTGGAAAATGTGTAGCAGGGCAGACCGCTTCGCACTGACACTTGCAGTCGTCGTTTTTCGGGGTTTACGGTCGGCATTTGCAATGGGAGAAAATTCGGCTGCGAGAAGGAGCATAGGTACGCTCCGAGACTACCATCTCTCGTTCCCACTTATGGACATATCTTCTCTACTCCTCGCGTCCTGTGCTCTCCACGTACCTTGGTGCCAACTTCCAGGGCTGATGTAGCAGGTTCTATTGAGGTAGCCATGCATCTAAGGGGAATTTGAATGCAGTAGTAGGTAACCCTTGCAAAAGTACGGAAGAATTTAACAGGTTGACCGCCATGGGTCGCACCGGTGCGGGAATGGTGGTGCTTCGCCAAGGGATGTAATAATTTATTTTGGTCCAGGAAAGTCACCAGGCCAACATAGCCGTGGCGTTCAACGTGTTAAAGGCATTGAATGCGAATATGGCCATAGGTGGGGGCGGTCGTCATCCCCCCCGCACCCTGGATCCGCCTCTGGCTGGCCATGTGAGAAGATAGAACGCGGAAAAAAACATCCCTAATTTCTCGGTCTGCCCCAGCCTTCGTTAGTGTATTGGCAAAGGCAGGGCCGACGGGGAACCGAGCGAAGACGAAGGGCAGCCAAGATCAAGACGTTTCCTTAAATCGTCGCTTTGTAGGACAATGCGGTAAGTGGGGTTTTATTGGTGGCCTCACACTACTCTACGGACATCGCAACCCGCTGCGCACGTTTCCAATCGTTAGTGGCCTTTTGCCGCGCTGTGTGAACCCATTACTTGGGTTATGGGAGGGCACATGCGATCGCGCTCTGCGCACGCGTGGGTCATGTGTGTGCGCCCGCATGCAACCGACCACCACCAATGACCACAGTAGATTTTATTATACAGGGTGTTCGTATTTAACCCTTGCCCGGATAAGGGTTAAACGCAACATAGGAAATATTTTGCCACCTGTAGGTGGAGATCGGCTAACGCTCTAGGGCTCACAGGGTTGCATACCTGCAAGGAAACACCAGTCACAGTCTTCATCCTTACACATATGCAACCCGGTGAGTACTTGCTGAACTCCACAAACAGGCGGCAAAAATTTCCCTATGCTGCGTTTAATCTTTTAAATGCCAAACCCGCATATATTCGTTTTCAAGTTCAAGCCCTCTACGCCAAAACCAAATATTTTCGTTTGGCCTCCTAACCGTTTGAATTCGCGCCTGGAAGTTCAAGGAGCTTAGATTAAATATATAACACACCTTTCCCGCGAACAACATCTGGAAACAAAGAAATTCCATATATAGATATGTAAAATTAACTATAAATTAATTAACTATAAAATTAACTTAAAAAACCAGCCTGGTGGGAATGCATGACCCACAAGACTGTGGCACTGAAAGGGTTAAGAACAAACACCCTATATAGAGATGCTCCCCATTATAACTCTTACCCACCCCCCCCCCCTCCTTTCTTACAAATTTACTTTGTTAACTTCCCCAGAGGTATAGACAAGGAGGGACCCATTGGTCTTGGACCTCCCGAACATAGAGCAGTCCCTTTTGCTCCCAAGCCTCTCCTGAAATTTGCTTTTGGCTATCCTCTCCTACCATTTGAATATTTTAAAAGCATCACTAATTGAGTTGCATCAAACTCACTATCTCCCATGCCATGAAAAAACAACAGAGTGGTCAATGCTTTAATCCAGGGAGAGCAGGTGGGACATGAAACCAGCCTGATGAACTGTTGGTCTAGGAGAAATCCACCTTCCCCCTTGTTGGATTCAAACCTGATCCTTCCTCATGCAAGCCAGAGATCCTAATGACACAATAATTTGCCACATTGATTTGGTCAAACCCCTAGTGCTCACCTTAAAGGAAAGGACCCCAAACATTGTTGAATTTTTGTGATCTCTACTAAGTGCAGGAAAATATATTGAAGTTATCAATCAGATTGTGTTGCTCTTTGTGTTGCTCTTTGCTCAAATAGGTGACAAAATGACTAGGAGTAGTGCATGACTAATGTATGTAGCTCTGATGCCTTGTACATAGTCTACATGAAAAGGATGCCTGATTTGGTAGGGATCAGAATCGGTCGACCTGGTGAGCCCCTCAACTGGCACCTACACATATAACCGGGATATGATTCCCTTGGAGCAACTCCTCAGCAATGGGGAAGACCCCTCCTCTCCCAGTAAGCATCCTTCTTCTTACTCATCTCCCTTGGCATCATTTGAACAAATGCTGGTGGTAGTCAGGTGGTGGTAACATGCAAAACTTTCATCTCATTTTCATTTGAAGGAGAGATTATTATTCATTTCCCTCATTGGCAATTGATAATCATTTAATTGTCCAATAGAATTAACCAGTGGCAGTTCATAATCTGTACCAGTTGCTCTTAAGTAGAGGGAGGGTAGGCCTGAGTGCACCCTGTCTTCATTGATGAGCTACTACTGCTACAAGATTGCAAGCCATTACTAGAATTGGCATGAGATTAGAAAGCAGACGAAACAACCTTGAAAAATCTGGAAAAATCAAGGAAGTAGAAATTGAGTTTGAAAAGCAAAAATAAAATGAGAGAAAAAAAGTTATGCTAGTGCCTCAATTTCTTTTGGGATATTGGTGGAACCACTTAATAAGATGAAAAAATGTATTCACAAGGTGAGGATCATGACATTAACTCAAATTTTGTTGCAAAATTATATCCAAGGAAGACCTTGAAATTCACAAAAATTTATTTTCATGTGTTTATGAGAACTCTTTACATCATGCCCTGTTGCACTTAATCTAAACTGTGTCATATTTGCATTTCTTTTGCCAGGCCCACGCATGCAGTCACCGACAGCCCAGGACCTGGAGGGGCTCAGGACCCAGCTGAGCAATGAGGCACGGCGAGCACGCCACCTGGCACTCCTGCTTAATGAGTCAGAGGCAAACAATGCCAAACTGTCGCAACTGTCTGATGCTTTGAAGGAAGAGATTAGGCGCCGGGAACGCAATGAAGAGCGCAAGGAGCACCTGGAGCACCTTGAGTACCTCAAAAACATCATCCTTAAAGTCAGCTCTTCCTCAATTTAGTCATTTATGAATTGCATATGTTTGCTTTTATTTTTTTTATGTAAAAATGGTCAAGTATTTGAAAAAGAGATTTAAAAGAGATATATTGCTGAATCCCAGTAAAAAAGCAATAAATATTTTCCTGCAACAAGAATGTCTTCCCCATCTGCATTCTTGCAATAGGCAACTATCTGGTTTATGTTCACTGAAAATCTGGTTTCATGATTTTGAATGAATGGATTTTGGAATTTGCAAAGGATGTAGGTACATATTGTCATGATGTCTTCTGTGTAAAGACCAAGAAATGGAAAGCCTGTGGGAGGAGGGAAGGAATGTGGGAGGGAATATTGGTGAAGCTTAAAAGGAATGAATTGCACTCAGTCATTTGTTCTGTTATATCATCAGAGACATCATGTTATATCATAATGATGCCTTCTCACTATATGTCCCAAAAGCACTCTCAAAGGCATTCTCAAGCACTTTGAGAAGTTAAGTGATTACATTCTGTTTGGTTGAATGTGGGAGGTCTGCAACTACATATGGCTTGAAGAGTTCCTTTTTAAAATGATCATTGTTAAGCTTGAAGGTCATTAATAGTTCAATTGTTTTGGTAGGGCTTCTTGTTCTGAAAATTCTATAAAAGCATGCAAAGTTGTGTAATACATGATGTAGATATACCCATGGGAGCAAATAGTGAGTGGGATTCATTTGGAAATCTCCAATGGTAAAGGAACAAGAATAACTCCTTTTATGCTATTGGTTGTTTCTGCAGTTCCTGTTGTTGTCTTCGGGTGATGAGCGGATGCGCTTGGTCCCAGTCCTGACCACGATGCTTCGTCTCAGCCCAGCTGAGACCAGCCAACTCAACACTGTGGCCCAAGGTGAGGCTGAATAAAAAATGGTTGCAAAATGAGAACCAGGATTTTGCAGTAAAAATACTGGGGCAGTGCATTGCCTCATGTAAGATAAACTGAGTTTATGAGAGGGAAACATTACCACATGTATTATTTTTAGAGGTGTCAATCGTTTAAAAAATTTAATAGATTAATCGAATTTTAATCGATCCCATGGTTCCTCCTTGAAGCATGTCCTAGGCGTTGGGAATGATTCTGCTTGTGTCATGCTCAACACCTAGGCGAGCTTCAGGGTGTGATTCAAGGCGATGCAGTTGTTAACAGAGCAGTTACTATCCATGCATTAACTAGTTCATCCTACAAGTGGCACATTCCAGTTGGAAAGAAAATAATTACAACTTAGCCACATAAATAATGAAACGTAAGCAAAGAAGTGCACTGAGGCAAGATTCATTAACAATTTACAGGCAACACAGGAAAAACAGGAGCAAACAAGGAATAGGAGAGGGTTTCACACTATTGTTTCCACTTCTCTCGCCTGCCCTGGGCTTTCCCCCTCTCTTGGTTACTTTTCGGAGGCTCCCACAGACGTTCACCGGTGCATTTAAATGTACGCCTCTCACTCCCCAGTCTTTACATTATCCTCTTTCTTGCCTCTCCAGTCGCATGCCCCTGCCCAACTCCCCTCTTCTTTCTGTGCTTTCCCTTGCAGCTTCTTCATTACGACTTCCTTTTCTCCCCATCTGTATCCAGTGACTTTTCGGCCGCTCTGCCCTAGGCCACTATTACCTTAGCCTGATGCGCGAGGCCTGCAATGCTATGCCTTTAACCCTAGAAGTGCCAACCGTCGATAAATTCGATGTTGGTAGACCACCGTGCTGCTTCTGGCACTTCTAGGGTTAAAGGCCATAGGCTAGGCAGAAGGACACGCATACCAGTACGCTTGAGGATGCGAAGGGGTCAGGGAGATTTTTGGAATAGTCTGAAAGCAATGGCTTTGTTTTTGTGTTCCCTTTTTCCAAAAATAGTATGTCGTTTTGAGGAAGAGTGAGCAGTGTGAAAACGACTACCTTCTATTATATAAACCATCATTACATTTCATTTCCTTGGTAAAGCATTCGTTTTCGGTTGTTTTGCAAAACTATGAACTACACAGTAAAATTATAAGGGGAAAAAGAGGCATTCAGGGGGATATTAAGGAGTCGATTAAAATTGGATTAATTTCAACTAATTTTTTTAATCACGATTAATACTTTAATCAATTAATTGTTAGATTTATCTAATTGCATTGACAGCCCTAATTGCTTTCATTATGTAATCACAGATATATTCTCTTAAGTTTGTTTACCTTGAGTCTCATGAGTTGTAGAATAATTTTCTGATTCTAATTTTTGCCAGGAGGGGACCAGGAACAGTCGCCTCGTGCCGGATGGGGCCAGTATCTTGGACTTTGGAGCGGTGGGGAATGATGCAACATGACTGCAAAGTCACTTTTCCAAGATAGACTTTCCATAACTCAACTAGTGGCACCTGTATCTGTGATTTACTGGACGTTGGCAACATTCGATGGTGGCGGGGATTGCCAGAGTGGGATTCAGAGCAAAATCTTTCCCATGCCTTGTGATTCATTGGGGTTCTTTGATCTTCATCAAATCTATTGCCTGTTAAGTTATTGCACGCCATTTCTTCAGTTTTATTGTGTTCTGTCTCAGCAAAAGAAGCTTCCCTCGCATAAAGGAAAACTGGTTTTACGTGCATTCTTTGTTCTCTTTAACCCATTGGATTTAGATTTTTTTGTCAAAAGAACTTAGTGCAATGATTTAGTGAGCGACCACAGCTGATTAAAAGAATCCAATGGGTTTACATACACAGTTTCAGTGGCGTAGGCAGAAAATCGGCAAGGGGGGGAGTGGGGCCAGGTAGACACCCCAACCCTACCCTTAGCTCCACCGCCCGGAATTTACCTTTTTGAAGAAATTGTGGTCTAGCATCTTGGGTCTGTGGATGGACATTAGACTTTCCTCGAAGGGGGATAGCTAAAACTGGAATTCCCAAGGAAGGCTGAAATATGCCTGACTGTCACTGACCAGGAAGCCCAAGGGGGAGGTTTTGACCCCCTAAACCCCCCCCCTTCCCTTCGCCACTGTACAGTTTCCAAAGTACTTTCTCATTTGTAACTCACATTGCAGCAAAGTGTAGAAACTATTGGACCTGCCTAGGGCATTCCATGTGTGATTTGCAAACAGAATCATGACATAATGATGATGTTATCCATTCAGTCGTGTCCGACTCTTGGCGATTCTATGGGCTAGTTCTCTCCATGCTGTCCGATCTTGTACCGCATCCGTCAGTTGCCTTAAGCTCAAT